CTTTCAGAGAGGATTTAATACCTATCCTTTTCAAGCTATTCCAAAAAATTAGGGAAGATGGAACACTTCCTAACACATTCTATGAGGCCAACATCACGCTGATACCAAAACCTGACAAGGACACCACGAAAAAAGAGAACTACAGGCCAATATCACTGATGAACATAGATGCAAAAATTCTAAACAAAATTTTGGCAACCAGAATTCAGCAATTCATCAAAAGAATCATACATCATGATCAGGTGGGATTCATACCAGGGACACAGGGATGGTTCAACATCCGCAAATCAATCAACGTGATACACCACATCAACAAACTGAGGAATAAAAACCACATGATCATCTCAATAGATGCAGAGAAGGCATTTGACAAGATCCAACAGCCATTTATGATAAAAATTCTGAACAAAATGGGCATAGAAGGAAACTACCTCAACATAATAAAGGCCATATAGGACAAACCCATAGCCAACATCATACTCAATGGGCAAAACTGAACCCCATCCCCCTGAAAACAGGAACGAGACAAGGATGCCCTCTATCACCACTCTTATTTAACATAGTACTGGAGGTCCTCGCCAGAGCAATCAGGCAAGAAAAAGGAATAAAAGGAATCCAAATAGGGAGGGAAGAAGTGAAACTCTCGCTGTTTGCAGACGACATGATCTTATATATAGAAAACCCCAAAGAATCCATTGGAAAACTGTTAGAAGTAATCAACAACTACAGCAAAGTTGCAGGGTATAAAATCAATTTAGATAAATCAGTAGCATTTCTATACTCCAGTAATGAACCAACAGAAAAAGAACTCAAGAATACAATACCATTCACAATCACAACAAAAAGAAAAAATACCTTGGGGTAAATTTAACTAAGGAAGTGAAGGACCTATATAATGAAAATTACAAGGCCTTTCTGAGAGAATTGGATGACGACATAAGGAGATGGAAAGACATTCCATGTACATGGATTGGAAGAATAAACATAGTTAAAATGTCCATTCTACCTAAAGCAATCTACAGAGTCAACGCCATCCAATCAGAATCCCAATGACATTCTTTACAGAATTAGAACAAAGAATCCTAAAATTCATATGGGGCAACAAAAGACCCCGAATTTCTAAAGCAATCCTGAGAAAAAAGAACAAAACGGGAGGCATCACAATCCCTGACTTCAAAACATACTACAAAGCTACAGTAATCAAAACAGCATGGTACTGGTACAAAAACAGGTGCACAGATCAATGGAACAGAATTGAAAGCCCAGAAATAAAACCACACATCTATGGACAGCTTATCTTTGACAAAGGAACTGAGGGCATACAATGGAGAAAAGAAAGTCTTTTCAACAAACGGTGCTGGGAAAACTGGAAAGCCACATGTAAAAGAATGAAAATTGACCATTCTTTTTCACCATTCACCAAAATAAACTCAAAATGGGTTAAAGACCTAAAGGTGAGACCTGAAACCATAAGGCTTCTGGAAGAAAACGTAGGCAGTACACTCTTTGACATCAGTATTAAAAGGATCTTTTCGGACACCATGCCTTCTCAGAGAAGGGAAACAATAGAAAGAATAAACAAATGGGACTTTATCAGATTAAAGAGCTTCTTCAAGGCAAATGAAAACAGGATTGAAACAAAAAAACAACCCACTAACTGGGAAAAAATATTTGCAAGTCATATATCTGACAAAGGCTTAATATCCTTAATATATAAAGAACTCTCGCAACTCAACCACAAAACATCAAACAACCCAATCAAAAAGTGGGCTGGAGACATGAACAGACATTTCTCCAAAGAAGATATACAGATGGCCAATAGGCACATGAAAAGATGCTCATCATCGCTGATCATCAGGGAAATGCAAATCAAAACTACACTAAGATATCACCTTACACCCGTTAGAATGACAAAAATATCTAAAACTGATAGCAACAAATGTTGGAGAGGTTGCGGAGAAAAAGGAACCCTCATACACTGCTGGTGGGAATGCAAACTGGTGCAGCCACTATGGAAAACAGTATGGAGATTCCTCAAAAAACTAAAAATAGAACTACCATACGATCCAGCCATCCCACTACTGGGTATTTATCCAAAGAGCCTGAAGTCAGCAATCCCAAAAGTCCTGTGCACCCCAATGTTTATTGCAGCACTGTTTACCATAGCCAAGACGTGGAAGCAACCTAAGTGCCCATCAACAGATGAATGGATAAAGAAGATGTGGTACATATATACAATGGAATACTACTCAGCTGCAAAACAGAACAAAATCATTCCATTTGCAATAACATGGATGGACCTTGAGAGAATTACGTTAAGTGAAATAAGCCAGCGAGAGAAAGATAATCTGTTTATGACTCCACTCATACGAGGAATTTAAAACTATGGACCAAGAACAGTTTAGTGGATAGCAGGGGAAAGGTGGGGTGGGGGGTGGGCAGAAAGGGTGAAGTGGTGCACCTACAACATGACTGACAAACATTAATGTACAATTGAAATTTCACAAGATTGTAACCTATCAATAACTCAATAAAAAAAAAAAAAAAAGATCGGCACCTGAGCTAACAACTGTTGCCAATCTTCTTTTTTTCTTTCTGCTTTTTTCTCCCCAAATCCCCCCAGTATACAGTTGTATATTTTAGTTGTGGATCCTTCTAGTTGTAGTACATAGGACACTGCCTCAACCTGGCCTGATGAGTGGTGCCATGTCTGTGCCCAGGATCCGAACCAGAGAAACCCTGGGCCATGCAGCAGAGCGAGCGAACTTAACCACTCGGCCACCGGGCTGGCCCCTAAAAAGCTTTTAAACAGCAAAGGAAACCATCAAGAAAACAAAAAGGCCACCTACTGAATGGGAGAAGTTATTTGCAAATCACATCCAATAATGGTTAATATCCCAAATATAAAGTACATACACAACTTAATATTAAAAAAAAACCCTGAATATAAAATGGGCAAATGACTTGAACAGACAATTTTCCAAAGACATACAGATGGCCAACAGACACATGAAAAGATGCTTAACATCACTAATCATCAGGGAAATGCACATCAAAACCACAATGAAATACCACCTCACACCTGTCAGAATGGCTATTATCAAAAGACAAGAAATAACAAGTATTGGTGAGCGTGTGGAGAAAACGGAACCCTCATACACTGTTGGTGGGAATATAAATTGATGCAGTCACTATGGAAAACAGTATGGAGGTTCCTCAAAAAATTAACAGAACTACCATGTGATCCAGCAATTCCACTACTGGGTATTTATCTGCAAAAAACAAAAACACTAATTCAAAGAGATATATGCACACCCATGTTAACTAATACCTTCGTTAATAATACTATGCTCAGCATTCTTTACAAAAGCCAAGATATGGAAGCAAACTAAGTGTCCATCGACAGATGAATGGATAAAGAAGATGTGGTATATATACAATGGAGTATTACTCAGCCATAAAAAAGAATGAAATCTTGTCATTTGCAACAACATGGATGGACCTAGAGGGTATTATGCTAAGTGAAAGCAAAATAAGTCAGACAGAGAAAGACAAATACCATATGATTTTACTTATATGTAAAATCTAAAAAATAATACAAGTGAACAAACAAAACAGAAATACACTCATAGATACAGGAAACAAACTGGTGGTTACCAGAGCAGGGAGGGGTTGGGGGGCAAGTGAAACAGGTGAAGGTGATTAAGAGGTACAAACTTTCAGCTATAAAATTAATAAGTCTTAAGGATATAATGTACAGCATAGGGAATACAGTCAGTAATGTTGTGATAACTTTGTATGGTGACAGATGGTAACTAGACTTATCATGGTGATCATTTCATAATGTATATAAATATTTAATCAATATGATGTACACCTGAAATTAAGAGGATAGTGTGTGTCAATAAAAAAATATTGAGGGGCCAGCCCGGTGGCATACTGGCTAATTTTGTGCGCTCCACTTCAGCAGCCCGGGGTTTGTGGGTTCAGACCCCAGGCACGGACCCACACACTGCTCGTCAGGCCATGCTGTGGTGGCATCCCAAACACAAAGTAGAGGAAGATTGGCAACAGATGTTGGCTCAGAGCCAATCTTCCTCACCAATCCTCTCAACAAAAAATGGACCTTTTCCTGAGTCCAAACCAACTCAGTTTAATATTCCTGAATGCTCAGATGAATAAATGAAAATACTTCTTTTAAAAATAGCTTATTTTTTAATGACAGAGGAGACTGTAATGTTTGTCTCTATTATTCTGAGATTAAAATTAGATTAATTCAGCCACTTCTTTGAGATGAATGTTAGTCTATTTGTAAGAAAAATATTTAGTGAGGAACAAATGGAGAAAGAAGAAAACAAAACTAGAAATGAAGAGCTCATTCAGACACCCCTGCTAAGTTTTTCCCTAGCTGCTATAGTACTGTTCTGTATTATATGACTCTTTAAATCTTCCTTCTCCATTATAACGGTAAAATAAATATAGAAAGATCAATTGCGAGTAAGTAATAGTTGGAAACATAGTAAGAAATTCAGCCATTTAAAGTAATTACATGGTAAATTTTAGGTAGAGAATCATGTCCAGTTTATTAGGTTTCCCACCACAGCTTTACATCTCATTTAAATTTTATGAGTAGAGTTAAAGTAACCATTTTACAAATAGAGTTAATCAGTGTCCAGAACAGGGTTTTGACTTCAAAGGACACTCAAAGTTGAACAGAGGTATTGTGGCTGCTTAAAATTTTTACCTTATCTGCAAGATTAGACCAAAAACTACCTGAAGATGCTTGACTTTCAGGGAAAAGCTAGAGAGAATGTCCATAAGAATGGGACTAAACCCAACTTTATTTCATTGAAGTTTTCAGTCATATTAGAATATCAATCCTCTATGTAGGTATAGCAGCAACTTTTACAGTGGAAAGGGTGGAAGCAATTGCGGCTTCTTATTACCTCACCATAAAGGAGGATATGAAAGAGGAGATGAAAGGATAGGCACAAACCTACCTTTCTCAAACTTAGAAAAAGCAACTGACTTGAGGCTGCACTGATGACCTTTGCACGTTCCAATGAGCTCGCCAGCTTTTACATCCCAAAATTTGGCTGACTGATCACCTGCTGCAGTAACCTTTCAAAGAAAGTATCACAATTTAATAAAGCAACCCTTTACCAGTATTTACCCAGATCCTAATAAAATGAAAGTCACTTACAAGTTTAAGTTCACCAGGGACCCAGGCCAGGTCAAAGACAGCATTCCAGTGAGCCATCCATTCTAAACAAAGAAAATGGTGAATGTAAAATGTCTGGACTGTTTATATTCCAGTCTAAAATATTCTATGGTAGTGATATCCATTGCAGTTTAAATGCCTTAAAAGTGGTAGTGAAAAGATCGGTGGTCAGTATCCTATGGTCCATGGGCCAAAGAGAATTTGTGGACTCACAGACATTACACATTCTCTTCATTACCACATAGAACTACCATTTGATATCAAATTCTTTTCCATGAGATGATTAATATATCCTCTAAAATGGAATCTTTCTGAAACATTCTCCAGTTCAAAAATCTCCATCTCTGAATAGGGTCTAAAGTACTTTAGTTTGACATTCAAGGTTCTGCACATTTTGGCCTTAATCTCTGTTGCAAAGCTTATCTCAGTGTTTTCCACATATCGTATTCCAACCAAACTGGATCGTTCTCTATTTCCTTATTATATCCTATCTCTAGGCCTTTGTTAATGCTTTCCCCTCTGCCTGGAGTGTCCTATTCTATCTCCATTGGTCTAAATACCACAGTCCAACTCAGATGTCCTATCCTTTATGAAAAATTTTCCTCTCCTTCATTACTACATGAGAGCTTTCTCTTTGACACTTGTGGTGCTTTCTTTGTACTTTTTCTACATCATTTAGTCTTTGTTTTATTTTAGTTATTTCAACACTTGACCTTCTAGTTCCAAATTATCAGCTGCTTAAGGTCAGCAGAACTTTACTCAATGAATGGAAGATGCTTGATCAATATAAATATTTTAAAGCAATGTTTCCCCCAACCACATTAAGTGTAAAAGATTTAACTTTTTAAAAGAACTATTTTTAATCCTAAAATGTATTTTTCTTACATTACATTGCTTCGCCATGGTTAACCATTATTGACATAAAGATAGCCCACCATATATTTTCAGGCTAGTCCTTAAAAAGATTTAATCAGAAGGGTGGAATGTATTCAAATAATTTATTTGAGGCTTTATGAATTAAAAATAATGTTAAAAATTTTTGACCTAGACTTACCTTTGATACACTTCTTTCTACTGGTTTGTGATTCTGTGTTATATAATCTAACGAAGCCTTCTTCATTGGCAACTGCTAGTATATGCTCCATATTGGGAGCTAAATAAGAAATAAAGAACAAAATATATAGAGAGTAACACAAAAATTTTAAAGCTCTATAAACAATTTATTATAGATTAATTGAAAGCTACAAGGTAAACACAAAAGAATCTGTTTGAAAAAGGGGAAGATGATTCTACCCAAACAGCACCTGGTATGGTACAGAGGTAATCTGAATTAAAGATTGCTTAAAATTTGCCATAATATCTAATTCAGTAAATGACACAAAACCACCAAAATTATCTTCAGATAATCTCTTACTTAGAGAAGGGCTGAATCAAGGGTGGTACTTAAACAAAAGAAGATTTGTAGTGGCCAATGGCAAAAAAAAGGTATCTGATAGACCAGCAGGCTGAGTCTATTAGTTTTAAATTCCCTTTTCACAACCTTTTACTTTTCCTCTTTTAAACTATTAACAGCGGGGACAAGTACTTCTATTTCTGTTCATATATTCCCCAATACATTACAGATAGAGAGAGATTCAATCAGATTAAAGGGATATCTACTGGACAAAACAGTTTACATGATGCCTAAACCTTTGCAACACGTTCCCTCTATCAGTTGAAAAAAAAATGATGCTATAATAGTCCTATGCTTTATAAATACATAATTGTGCAGAGATTAAGAAAAGTCTACTTCATAAATCTGGAGAGAACAATTAGAAAAACTCTACCATCTATCTAACTTACATTTTCTTGAAAGGGAGACACCTCAGTATATTTTTCCCATAATTGTGAAATAGCTCATTTCTGACCAAGCCTAGCTTAGATAGTAATTCTCTTACCAGAAGAGAAGGTGCATCCAAAAGGAGGAACTGGGACCCCCGTTTCTCCATAAGAAGTGTGCTCATCATTATTGTTGCACTGATAACCAGTTAGAAGGGATTGTAGAGGGTATTGTGAAGACCATCCTAAAATAAGACACAATTCCTTATAGAATTCCAGTATCACTATATTTCAGTACTTTTCACAAATGGAGGTAAATATTTGTTTTAAAAAGCTTTATATACTTAATAGAAATCCATTCACTATTCATGGTCCTCTGGAATACAGTTTCTGGTATTTTCCTAAGGAAGAAATGAAAGAGCACTCCCAACTTCTGGTGAGGTATAGGTTTGGGCCTACCATCTTACATGAAGACTCTTACTAGTGTACTTGAGACTGCAAGAAACAAGTGGACTTGGCACATTAAAAAAATTCTACCCCTTCTCCCACACTTTGGTGACAACCACAAAGACTACCATAACCATTAAAACTGCCATTCTCTTCAATTAAAATTTTATGTTTTTAGAGTTTCTAATTCAACATGACTGCAAACTCTTAAGTTACTAGCAACATCAGACATAATCCAATGGGCAAAGAGTCAAAGGAAATACTGTACATCAATGTGCCTACTGTAGCCACTAACATACTCACAATATACTAATTTCACTTCCTCTTTCCTTTCCAGTGCCAAAATTCTAGGATTCTAAAATGTTAATAGCAACAAGTCATAGTATCTTAAAGTATATTAGAGCAATTTTAAAGTAAAGCTTTATGTACATACTGCAACAGTACAATTAGTTAGCCCTGGCTAGTAGTAGTAGTAGGCTCAGGGAAGTCTCTAGAGGAGGTGAAATCAAACTAAGTCTTGAAAGACTAGTAAGTTTTCAATAAATATACAAGAGAGAGGAAGAAATTCAGGGTGGAGGGAAAGTTTATTCTGCTTGGGTCAGAGACCTAAGGTGTACTATGGTCCTAAATAGTAAACCATCTTCAAAGATTTGTTTTATCATTTTGATATGTGGGTCACCATATTTTAAAAATGTATGAGCAACATTCATTCAATAAATAGTTACTGAGAACCAAATGTTTATTAGGCATTGGAGGAAACAATGAAGCTACAATTTATTGAGAGCTGTCTAAATAATTAACAAACACACTTTGGGGTACTTTTAATTCTCACTTTTCATTAAAAATACTATTTGGAGAAATACCTTAGTCTGACAGAACCTCAGACAAATCTAGTTTTGGATGTTCATAGAGATAACTCGAAGGAATCAGTACAAAGGAGGCAAAGAAATTTAATTCAGATTTAGTAATTATTCCTGGGCGGTATTACCTCTAGGTCAGATATCACTGTAAACAAGCCATTAAAGACCATTAAAAGAATACAATTAGTTATGTTGTAGAGTTCACAAACATCCATCTACAGAATGATTTAAAAAACAAAGCCTCTGCTCTAAAGTTATGTAAATATACACTTGTAGTTTGGGATTTTAAAAAAATTTAATGACTGCAACACAGGAATTCAAAGGGACTGAATCTTGAACAATTTAGGTGGAACTGAAGATCATATGCTCTGGAGACCTAACTCTTTATAAGTAAACAGTGACTCCCTCAACTCGGACTCGTTGCCTACAGACTAATATCCCACACCAACACATGGCCTAACATGGCTTAGTCATGAGTCCCTATCTGCCCCTCCATTTCTGCGGTCCCCACAACACACGCTTCATGGACCAGCTCCTTAAACTACTTTTGGATCCTTATGGTGCTATGCTTTTCCCAACAAGAACTTGTAATGCTGCCCGCAACGACACTCATTTGGAAAAGCCTATTCTTTCCTCATTATACAACTTAAGCCCCTCGGGTTACACGCAGATTTTTCAAGGGGTAGCTGAGGACATGAGAGTTTTCAAAGAACCAATTTACAGATACTCAACTTCCATATATATGCATTTCTAAAATTGATCTTTCTGAGAAGGCTGTAGCTCTCTTTTTCCTGTCTCCCTTCATCAGTGCCTTTCTCCTATTTTTCAAAAGATATATCCCAATCTTGCACTTTGCCTTCACTGAAGATATAAAAACTTCCGGGATCCCAACTAAGAGACAATTGGATAATTGCTTTAATAAAGGCATTATAAACACCCAATTTCATCTCCTTAAAAGAAATGAATACATACTTCCAATAAAATTTTACTTTTTGCTTAATAATTATCAAAATTATTAACCTACCTTGTTTTTATCAATTGCATACTACTAATAATTGTGATATTTCAATCCAGAAGAAACTTTTAACACTTGGAGCCTTAAGATCACAGAAAATTTCAACTTAAATGTATTTTTTTACACAGAGGAGAATGATACAGTGATAAATAAAATAATTTTTGAAGGTAATCTATAATCAAATTACCTTTGGAAAAATTCTGTGGGAGAAATAAAGTGGTAATACAATCAGGGGGAAAAAGCAACTACATAGACTATCTAGCAGTTAAAGAGTTTGCTCATATTTTAAAAAAAGGATTCATGTGAGTATCAACTCACTAAAGTATTTCTATTAGACACATTTTAAAGAGGGACATAGCATTTTTATTTTAAAATGCCAATATCCACATGATGGCCAGAAATTAGATCCTTTGCATCTGTTTAAACTTACGATAAAAACTTTTAAAAGCCAATTTAAAAACACACAGAAGAGTAATCAGATTTCCATTTTAGAAAGATCATTGGCAGGAATATGGAGAATAAACTGGAGAGAGGGAAACTAATAGGCCAATTGGGAGACATAATCCAGACAATAAGGTATTAGGGCCCAACTCAGAGAAATGGAATGGTAAGCATAGAACAGATCCAAGATATGATGAAGAGGCAACATCAGTGGGAATACAGGAGGATGGATTCAAGAGATTTTAATGGAAATTTCTAAATGTGTATCTTGAGGAGAATGAAGGAATTTTGATTGACTCTCAGATTTCTGGCTGGGAAAACTAGTTTATAAGAATAGGACCACTCCCTAAAGTAAGTAATATAGCAGGTACGGGGGAAAAGTGAGTTTGCTTTGGGGTACGTAAGTTTGAGATGCTTGTGGAACTGAGCATCTGGGTAAAGACACTCATAAAACTTTTATAGGAATGGATATAAAGTACACGGAATGCAAGGTTACAGGTAGGAGTGGAAGAAGCCCTGGTTCCGGCTATGATGATCCATGGGAGTAGGAAGAGAAAAGGACCTGGGATGGAACACCAACATGGAAGGGGCAAGGAGAAGGTCCTATAAAGTTCAGTGCACAATACATAAGAATGAAAGAATTTCAGTGTCTAACGCTTAACAACGAACGAGCAGAGAGGGAAGAAGCAGACGGACAGATTGGAGAATTAGGAGAAAATCTGTCACAAAACAGAGGCTAAACAGTTTGCCCCACGTCACACAGATAGCAAGGAGTGGAGCTGGAATTAAAACTCAGGCAGTTTAACTCCAAAGACAGAGCTCTTAACCACTGAGCAGTACTGCCACTCATGACCCAGAGGATAGAGAAGTTACTCAAGCAAGGGGTCCCAGGAGAGACAGAAAGAGGGGCATTTAGAATATGATTTGAAAGATTATCTAAGAGAGAAGTAGGTAAAGATGGTATAACATTTTAGACTGGGGGCAGGAAGTTGAGGGGCTACTCTTCAACCTCCTTCTCAATATCCTTTTCCTAGACTCATGGATTAAATATAAAAAGTTCCCTTCTCAGATTCTTTTCTTTTTGTTTTCCACGTGGTTTCAAAGGGAGAGAAGACCTAGGACATCTTTAAATGCATGAGATTTCATTTCTAACCAAGCTTAATCTGGGTAGTAACCCCCTTATCAGAAACTTAAAAAGTTTCAGGTTGATGACACCCAAACCTAAGCTTAAAACTCCTACTGCGAATGTTTTAACCTTAGGAACCCCAAGAACTGTAGCGAATAAGTCGGATTTCCACATCCGAACACGGAAATAGGTCCAAGTTACCCCGTTAAAGTGACAAACAAAACATTTTGATCCCATTTCTGTAAAGAACAATACAGATTACCTCTGGCATTGAAAAACATTTGGAATAATATACTTCAATCCGTTAACAGGGGTCATCTCTGGGGGATGTGGTTATGGGTATTTTTCACGCTATTAATTTCGAATTTTTATGCCCATGGAGTAATCAAGGGGAAAAAAAAATGTTGACCACGCTAGAAGCTCGTGTTCTCTGCTTGACTGAGTTCCTTAACAGCGAGCGGGTCCTATTCACGGGTGTTTACAGCAAATAGTAGGGCTCACTAAGATTCTGCAACAAATGAATGAATTAATCGAGGAATACGAGTCTTGACGATCTCACCAGACTGTCGAGAGAACCACATCCACACAAAAACGCACGCGTTTTCCAGTTAATGTGCAACGCGGACATCAGCCGTAAAGGAGGCCAGTCAGTTCAACGTCCCTCCCTCCGTCAGCCTACATTCCGATTTAAAAACTCCCGATTACGATTAAAAGTGTCCCAAGGGCACGAAAATGCAGCTTTCTTGAGTAGTTCTTGCGAACGCGAACTCATTCTGGCCGTGGGAGAAGGGCCCCGGGGGCTGGGAAACTGAAGCGGAGTCGGCCTTGGTCCGAGGTGTTGTTCGGGGGAGGTGAATCCCGCCAGCAACAAGCAGCAGTTATGGCCGTTACTCACCATTTTTCGGGACGCCAAACTGGGGCTGGCGGAGCACCGAATTGAAGAGCATCTGGGCCGGAAGAGAAGACTCAACTGAGGGAAGAGCCGTGGAAATGCCCCCAGGTTCGGCAGAAAGCGTAGCTTGCGCTCTTCAGAACACGATTCGTTATTGCCTCCAACTCCCGCCACTGTAAGCCCCGGCCACCAAACTCCCCGCCAAACTGACGTCACGCCCTCTGATTGGCTCCCGCCGTGGCGTCCGGGCGCCTCCAAGTCACTTCCCCCCTCGAATCCCCGCCTCCTTTTCTCCCAGCCGCGGGAACCTGGAGTTCACGAGCTCCCTGAGCGCCTGCGCGGGGGGCCGCCGAGGCGCTGGCGAACGGCGGGGTGACCAGGGCGCATGCGTACCACGACTTGACAGAGCGCGGAGGAAAAATCCGCGAGAAGGTGGTGGAAGAAGATGGCGGTGCTGGGGCAGAGTTTGCAATCTTTCTGAATAGGCTAGTCGAGTAACTATTCGGGTCATGGCGTCAAACTCAACTAAGTCTTTCTTGGCAGATGCCGGCTATGGCGAACAGGAGCTGGATGCTAACTCTGCCCTTATGGAATTAGACAAAGGTATTCGAAAGAGCGGGCTGAGCCGGTGAAACGGGCGTGGGGGGAAGTGGCGCCACCAGGCGGTGGTAGCCTCTGGAGAGTCCGGGAAGGCGCATGCGCATAGCTTCCCTGGGCGGGGCCGGGTGCCTGCGTTCTTGGTGGGTCCGGAGCTTTTGCAGCTTGGGGAAATTGCAGGAGAGTTGCAGCGTCGTTGGATTGGCCTTGCACCAGTTGAACAAGCAGCGAGCTCCATTGGTGGGCCGGTTTTGACCGCTTGAGGGCACAGTCTCCCGGTTTTCCAAGCAGTTTCTAAAAATGCTCCATTGAAATTGTGAAATTATTTTTCAGTACGTTCAGTTGAGACCAACTGTTCGCCAAGGGTGCTAAATAATAATCTTGCACTGGTGTAGCGATTCATTTGATTTTGTAACTCTGTTACCTGCAGGTTATTAGGCAGATTATGTACGGCCAAGACCATCGGAAAAGCATAGCCCCTGCTGCTTCTCTGCAGCCAAATTCCACGAGTTTTGTTTCCTCACGGGGCCGGGGAGGGGTGGTGCTGGGGGCGCCGCTTAGTGAGTTGGAGGAGGTTTGGAGTTAGACTGAGTTGAATTCCACTTCCGCTCATTTTATGATCGTGAACAGCTCACCTGACTTCTCTTAATCTCGATTTTTTGTCTGCAAAGTGGGTACAATACTATTGAGCTGACGAGACTGTTATAAATTTTAAGTGATATAATGGTATGCAAAAGAAGCACTTATTAAATGCTAAAGAGATAGGCCTTCTTTCTAAGATGCAGGGATGGGGAGGCAAGGGCAGATACTTGTCAGTAAAGAACTTGAGTGTTAAAATGTAACCTTTGTTTCAGTGTACTTGAGTGGTTTTTATTGAACGGGGGCAACATTTTGTCAATTGGTATGCAGTTAATTCTTGCTTAACCATGGCCAGTGTATGATGTATTGAGTACTGAATTAGAGGTTAGAAAGATCTAATTTGACTTTGAGTCACTTCCCAGCTCTCTGAGTTGGATATTGTATTAACTTTCTTGGGACTCTGTGGTTCTGACTTGTTTGCTTTTTAACCTGTAAACATTTCTAGTGGGTTGGTCTAGATAAAGGTTTCTTAGACTTTTTAAAAAACTTTTAACTCCTTTTGATCAACACAAAAATGTGACAACAGTCCAATGATATAATCCTTTGGTTGAATCACAGTTTCTTTAGTGCATCCCCATCCACCAAGAAAATGATGGTGAGCTTTGCTTTCTCTTCTGAAAGCTCTAGGGCTTTTCCCCTCAGAAATATAAAATTGTGACATTAAATGTGTTTTTTAAACGCTACATTATCTTCTCCTCCCCATTCTGATAATTCCTTCCTTATTCCCCAGTGAAAGTTGCAGGTCCAGATATCTGATATCCATACCAATTCTAAAGACATTTTCCACCACTCTGCTCCCATCTGATGGGATGGGAGCACACTTCACCTATCTGGTGAGGTGGGCTCATCTCGCAATGACAATAGGACAGTGGTTGTAGAACAGAGATCAAGATGAGATTCTGAAGAAATTAGAAATCTAGAATTGTTTAATTCCTAAAAATTTGCAGTTATGGTAAGAAAAAATATAACAATTTTTCATTCTTACAAGTTGAAATAGAAATATTTCATATCTATAAAAAATAAATGGGTGGCTATTGAGTGTTTAACTGTAAACCGTGTGTCAGTCCTACATACTAAGTAAGTGATCGTGTTCAATCTTGCCAACAATGCCCTGGGTGAGTATTTTACAGATGAGTGTCAGGCTCAGAAAGATAATTTGGACAAGAGCAGAGTAAAACTTTTGTTGTTTTTCACCTCACCATGCCATACCTTTTAAATCTGTTAAGAAATTAGATTATGGAAATAGCCAGTTTCATTAGAATATAGTTTAGTATTTTAAATATTGAGTCATTTCATCCTTTACCTGTTAAAGTATTTCTGTTTTATGAGCCAAAAGTCAGAGGGTCAGAAGGCTGTAAATTACAGCTTACTTTTAGTTCCAAAACTTACAGACCAGAGTTTCTCAAAGTACACGCCAAGGAATACTGTTTCCGAAGTTTTTTGTTTTTTGGTGTTTTTTGAGGAAGATTAGCCCTGCGCTAGCATCTGCTTCCAATCCTCTTCTTTTTGCTGAGGAAGACGGGCCCTGAGCTGACATCCCTGCCCATCTTCCTCTACTGTATATGTGGGGCGCCTGCCACAGCATGGCTTGCCAAGTGGTGCCATGTCCGTACACTGGATCCGAACCAGTGAACCCTGGGCTGCTGAAGCAGAACATGTGATCTTAACCACTGTGCCACTGGGCTGGCCCCCCAAAGTATTTTAATAGGACTTTCTCCCCTCATAGCCCTTCTCCCTCCCTCCCCAACACAGGCAGACACTCAGACACTCACACACGTGGCTTATTTGATCAGGCTTTGTACTAGAGAAACAGCAGCGAAACAAAACAAAGCCTGCATCCTTATAGAGTTTATATTCTAGACAGAGAAAACAGACAATAAATATAGTAAGCATATGTTGTCACAGATCGTGATACATGTTTTAAAGAGAAATGAAACAAATGAAGGGGGCTGGAGAAAACTGCGTGTGGGGTTGGGATTGGTTTGTTACTTTATATAGGATAGTCAGGAGAGGTCTCATTGATCAAATACAGGAACAGCAAGTGCAAAGGCCCTGAGATAGGAGCTTGCTTTGCATGATATATCTGGAGCAGTATGATAGGCAGTGAAGATAGAAAGAAAATCAGAGGCCAGTTCATGCAGGGCAGTGCAAGTCATTGAAAAGGCTGACTTTAATTCTGAAGGAGATGGGAAATCACAGAGGATTTTCAGCAGAAGTGTGGCATGATCTGACTTATCTTTGAGAAGGATCAGTCTGGTTACTGTGTGGAGAGCAGACCGAAGAGGGAGGGTCAGGGTAAAAGGAGGGAGGTTAATGAGAAGGCAGTTTTAACAATCCAGGGAAAAGAAAATAGTGGCTTGGGCCAGAGTGGTTACAGTGAAGCTGAGTGAAGTGCTGAGATTCTGGATATATTTTGACGGTAGAACAAGATTAGCTAATGAATTGGATAAGAATGTGAGAGTAAGAGGTGAGGAAAACTTAGAGGTTTTTGGTCTGAGCTACTGCAAGTACATATATTACCTTTTACTGAGTGAATGAAAATCAAATCAATTCGGGACTATTAAATTTGAGATGTCTCTTAGACATGTTAAGTAGGCAGTTAGGTAGACAGATGTCACAATTGAACTCCATTATAAAGAAATATCTTGTGGCACTAGTGTCCTAAGAAACAGACTTGGGAAATGCTGCCATTTACAAGCTTTTATATATTTATAACCTGTTGCACTTTGTTCTGAGCTTTTTGAGCAAGCATGGCAGTAAGCTACTCATTTCTAATCTCTCTAGGAATAGATGGATGCTATTTTGAAGCTCACTCCAGGATGTAGTTAGTAACACATCATTCATGTGATAGCCATTCATTAATTCAACAAATATTTACTGATCACCTCCATTGTGTTAGGCATTTTACTCAGACTTGGGCTATATTAGTGAACAAAAAGCTTTAAGAAGCTTGCTCTCTAATCTGGGGAGACAGACAGGGCTAGATCTGATATGGCCTTGTCAGTCAGGATGAGAAGTTTGGAATTTATGCAGAGTGCATTGGGAAGGCATTGAAAATTTTTAGGCAGAGGACTGACGTGGATTGGTTTACATTTTTAAAGACCACTCTCGCTGCTATGTACAGATCTTTCTATCTGTCCCTTTTTTAAAGTTTTAATCTGATAACCATGTCGAGTGAGTTTCTGTGAAGACTGAGCATATATAAGCAGAGTTAAGTATCATAATCAAGTACAACTTACATTTATCTGACACATTCATAATGTGGATAATCATTACTGTAATATAGGCATTATAAAAGACATATCTCACATAAATTACTCTATTACTGTAACTTTTTCATTGATCTAACTTCTGCATAGTAAGTCTAAAGATTTTTAGGTCAGCTTACAGGGAAATTGTCCTGATGATTTAGGGAAACTTATGCAAGACCTCCTTCACTTTGAGTGGAAAAGAGAGAGTCTCCCTTAAGTGACATCACTCAGCCTATCTGCTGTCTGTGAGGTTAGCCTTGGAAAGGATGAGGGGAGAGAGCGATGGGGAAGAGAGTGGTTCCCCTTGCAGCTGGGCCGTGGGAAGGGAGGAAATTTAGGGAGTGGAATTGCTACTCAAGATGTTGGTGAACTTAATATTGTGTGAAAAACTTGATGGTGTGCTCAATGAAAAATGTAATTATGAAATAGAAAATTGATATAAATCAGGACATCTATTCATTCTCCCTAATTTTCCCTTCATGTGCCATCACCTCATCTATGTTCCAAATATATGAATTCTCAGACTGCAAGAGACTGTAGCGGAGGAAGACATTTCCTCTACCCTCTCTGGGTTCGTCTGGCTGGAGAATGAAGTAAATTCACATGAGACAGAATAGCAGGAGAAAATTAAACAAAGCTTTGTAACATGTATACATGGGAGAGGTCAGGCAAGCTGAGCAACTCGCCAAAATGGCTGAAGCCCCCACCTTAAGTATCATCTCAGCTAAC